ATAGATTCTGGAGAAAACAAAAATAAGAATGAGATAAGGTCTATGGAATTGGAAATCACACTGGTAGACCTAGACAGTCTGGAGGCTGTTAAATTCTTATTCTTCTCTAAACCGTCTCCTGGTTCTCCATAAACTTCAACCACTTTGTTAGTATTGGTTCCTTTCGTTTCATCTACCCTTTAAGACAGTGGTTCTCAAAGTGTGGCCCCAGGAATAGCAGCATCAGCATTATCTGGGAACTTGTTCAAAACACAATTTTTCAAGCCCCAGTCCACACCTACTTAATCAGAAACTATGGGGGTGGGACCCAGAAATCTGTGCTTTACCAAGGCCACCAGCCATTTCTTTCTTTTCTTTCTTTTTCTTTTTCTTTTTTTTGAGATGGAGTCTCGCTCTGTCACTCAAGCTGGAGTGAGGTAGCCTGACCATGGCTCACTGCAATGTGCGCCTCTTGGGTTCAAGTGATTCTCCTGCTTCAGCCGTCTGAGTAGCTGGGATTACAGGCGGGCACCACCATACCCAACTAATTTTTGTATTTTTGTTAGAGATGGCACTTCACCATATTGGTCAGGCTAGTCACAAATCCTGACCTCAAGTGATCCACCCACCTCAGCCTCCCAAAGTGCTAGGATTAAAGGCCCGAGCCACCATGCCTGGCCACCTCCAGCTCTTTCTAATGCATTTTCAAGTTTTAGAACTGCTATGGTTTGCATGTGTCCTGCAAAGTTCATGTGTTGGAGGAGACTTGATCCCCAATGCAATAGCAGTGAGTAGTGGGATCTTTAGTGATTAGACCATGAAGGTTCCACTCTCATAAATAAATTAATGCCCTTAGAGTGGGAATAGGTTCACAAGATGAGTTCAGCCCCCTTCCCTCTCTTCTTACCTATGTGATACCTTCTGCCATGTTATGATGCAGCAAGAAGGCCCTCACCAGATACTGGCGCATTGATCTTGGACTTCCCAGCCTCCCAGAACCATCAGGAAATAAATTTCTGTTCTTTATAAATTAACCAGTCTGTTCTTTATAAATTAAACTTAGATCAATTCTTGTCTTAGATTGTTTTGTGCTGCTATTATGAAATATGAAATAGCACAAAACAAACTAAGACAAGAACTGATCTAAGTTTAAATACTGATTTAAGTGTCCAAAAGTTCCATTCACCATCTTTTTCAGTTCTCATTCTCCATTATTCTGGGTAGTTGGGCCCTCTCCTACTATCTCTACATCTATTACTACTACTAACAATGACAGTAACAGCTGCCATTTATCATAAGCATTTATAAGAGAGGCATTGTGTGAATCACTGTGTACACAGTACCTTTCTTAACCTCTACAATAATTATTTAATTCAAATAGGAAGGCTAGGCTTAGAGATGTTAAATAACTTGCCCAAGGACAGCCAGCCAATAAACAGCATAACAGAGATTTGACCTGCCATCTTCCTAACTCCAAAGTACACTAAGTTAACTGCTATACTAACATGCCTCCTAGAAGGTTGCTACTCCCATAACCTCAGCTGTCATTTATATTACAGTTGTCCCTAACCATCTCATAAACTCTAAGTAGAATTTCCAGTTACTTAGTGTATCTCTATTTAAACACCCCATAGAAACCTCAAAATTAACACTGCCATTATTTCTTCTCTTCACTTCAAACCTGTTCCTCTTCCTGTGTTTTCTAACTTAATGTCATCATAAGCAAACAGCTGCTCAAATGACTACTTACCCTCCCTCACCTCTAGCTGGTCATAAATTTAGAGATTTTAACATCTAAAAATGTCTCCAAAATCTATCCATTCCTATCGTCTAATGTTTCTTACCTACATTCTAGTCACCCTGCCTCTCCCACAAACTGTCAACTTTCTGATTATGGCTCTTGTTGGCTCTCCATTGCCAATGGATGGGAGGAGTCCAGACTTTTCAAGATGGAGTAGAAGACCCCCTCATAATTTGGCTCCAAAAATAACTTCCTGCCTCATCACTTCTCCCATGCGATAAGAAGTGATTGGGCCCTCATGAGTGGATTAATGCCATTATAGCAGGAATGGGTTCATTATCTCAGGAATGGGTTCTTGAGGTTAGCCCTCTCCCCTCTCTCTTGCTTACAAAAAACAACTCAAGATATTTCCAAAAGTGCCATTTAATTTTAATATTCAGCAACTTTGCTTATGCTGGCCCCTCTGCCTGGGACGCTCTCTTCCCCCTCTACATGTGGCAAAATTCTATTGAACCCTCAGAGCTAAGCTCCATCCCCTTCTTCTCAATGTGTTCCCTATCAATTTTTCTCCAGCCAAAGCGCTCTGCTCCCTTAACACATTATTCATTCTAAAAGTGATTAGTTTATCACAACATATAATGGTTAGTGGTTTATCTCTTCTAAAGAACATTTAGTATGTTGAGGATATACTGTGTCTTAACCTCTTTTTGTCTTCCCAGCACCCAGTAGAGTGGCAAGCCATAGCCAGCACCCAGTAAATATTTGCTGAGTTGTTAAATAATGCAACATTTGCAGCTGTAACTTTACACACCTTGGTTAGCAATTCAACTTCAGGTTTACACACCACTCAAAAGAACTTTCACATAACAGAAGATGTTATGAATAAAGACCAAGGGTTCAATATTCGACATCAGGGTCTTTAATTATTCGGAAAACTCTTTTGTCAGTATTTTTAGGTATCCTTCATCAGAAATACTCCTTTCCCAACTAACATTTGTATTTTTTACAGGATCAGCAGTAATGACAAACCTCAGAGAGATAAACCCAAGTAAAACTATGTCACTGAGTGTGACTGGATGATTACTGGTACATCATTTCAGTAAATTTCCAATAGAACGGCCCAAGTACATCAAGTAGATTTTAGAAACTGAGACATGTACCACTGACTACCTAAAATACATGCACATTAGTGAGATATTTATCCCAACTAGTAATTGAAATCAACAGCATATTAACAACCTGATATTGGTTCAAGTGTAATATCCTTTACTTTCAAGTAAGGATAACACTTATTCTTGTCAAAGACTATACTCTGATTAATACAACCTTTATCCCACCTTACAAGAAAGCTCTATCTTGTTAACAGTGGGATCCTGATAAGCCTGCCTTAGTCCTTAACGCTTTGCCTTCCCAACCTGCTAAGCCATCTCCCTCCAGTATTCTGCTATAAGAGACCTTCTGCTCCAGACACCAGACACAAAAGTCTTTTTGGTATATCCTCCAACAACCAAATTCACATTATTATTTTCTCAGCCCCTGGTTTATTTCTTTTCTAATTCAAATTTTACACTTCTTTCAGAGACCAACTCAAATCTTACCCTTTCAAAGAGTTCCCTAACTCAGCCTACACATCCTATCTTTTCCGATTTTCTACCACATTTATAGTCCTCAAACAGCACTGGTTACATGCTACTTAACTTGGTTTTATAATTATTTTATACACGTATCTCCTACATAGACTACTGCTCTCAAAGGAAAAAAGAAAAGACTGGTCTTCTATGTTATTTGTAACTCCTTAAACCTCTTCCCACATCTATCATGACACTGGGCAGAGGGAGGCACTTGTATTAAGTACTTGATGGACTGAACTAAATGCTTTCTATAAATAGATACACCACTTGAGCACAGTGTGATGTATAACAAATAGTCATTGCATGCTTACTCTGTGGCAAGCACCTTTTTCCTATGTCTTGGACATAGGGCAAGGAAGAAAAACACAGGTGACTCCTGTCCTAAAGCTATTATAGTGCAAGGAAGAAGACACTTTGAATTTCGAGTAATAAGTGTTACAAAGCAAGGTTATTACTGGTTCCAAGAGGCAACATATTTTACAGATCCTCAGTTATGAAACTGAATCATACAATTTTAGACCTAAATGAGAACCTTGAACTTATTTTCCTCAATCCTCTTGCACAAAACATTAGATTTCAGTACAGTCTATCTTTTCACTGGTTCTAATTGCCTTAATCAACAGAAAGAAAAGATTGGCTTCTTCCCTGTCTCCAATACTCCTTGCTCCCAAGTATGGTACTACAACCACCATACATCTACCCATGATAGAGTCCGGAGTACTGAGAAGAGAGCAACGGGCTGATGATGTGCTGCACCTTTACACTCTGGGTTCTCCCATCATCAACGCTTTCCAGCCCACACAGTCAACAGAATCCGTATTTTCTGCTCACAAAATAGCAGCCTGTACTACCTTTAGGGAAAACAAACAAACAAAACATGCTTCCATACTTCCTTGGCCCTACTAATGACAAAAGCACAACACGGTTCTGGGAAATTTAGCAAGAGATTTGAGTCTGAAAGGAAGTAATAAACGAGGATGTCTATCAGTACCTTGGTCTAAAAATCTGTAGCAACAACATACTAAAACGCCAAGGAAACAGATGCACATGCATGTGAAGTTGGAAACTGTAGGCAACAGGTTGGCTGCCCCGGATCTACACTGACAGGTCACCCTCCCTAGGTCGTGGGTGTGTCTGACGGCGCACGCAAGCACTGATTCACAGCTCTCTCCATAACAACCAGCTCCTACTCAGAGGCTGGCCAGGGCAGGGGAGATGAGGGCCCCATCAGTCCCAAACTTTCCGAACCCCCACCCCGGAGGCCGGGGTTTCGCCTCCTCTCGGTCCCGGGCAACGTCGTCTCAGACAGGATGCGAGGCTACTAGGGAATCTGGGCTGCTCCTGATTCGAACTTCTTTCTTTGGGAGGTTGGGAGAGTCACCCCGAGCCCCCGACACATCTACTTCCCACTACACCTTCGTGGCCTGCAAGCCTTCCCCAGCCTCCGGCTACCGCTTCCCAGAGCACCCGAGCCCAGAGACTGACCCTAGTCAGTCCCCGTCCCCGCTCCTTCCCCGCCCCCGGAAAAAGCGGCGGAGGGGCGGGGAACGGCGCGCGCAGATACGGCGGGGGCGCGCCTCCCCGCGCCCCGGGCCCGCGCAGCAGGTGCGGCCAGGCCCCACCTCCCCTGCGAGGCTCCGGCTACTCACCCCAACGATGTTCCTCTGCGACCTAGCCGCCGGCACAGACGCCTCTTCCGCCCGCTCCGCACCCCGCTCTTTGCCACCGCCCCCTTGGCCGCTACCGTGGCCGCCGTCCTCGCCGCCGCCGCCGTCGCGGCGCGCGTCCGCCCTCACGCACTCCGCCGTGGCCGCGCACGCGCCACTGCGCGCTGGCGTCACTTAGCAACCGATCGACAGCCGGCTGCTGGGTCCGGGGGTGCAGGCCTGGAAGGTAGCCAGAAGCGGCTTCTGCGGCTTTTCCGCACCGGCCTGGCCCTCTGCGCCTAGAGAGCAGGGGGCCCCAGGGTGTGGCTGCCCTGCCGGCACCTGGCTCCCGGTAAGTCGCGTCACCATACGTCACTGTATGGCGTCACCGGCGCGCGTCACTACGGATGGGAAGGTTCTGGGCGCCTATGGAGTGACCTCGTCCAGACCGCCACAGACCCGATCGGCAAGTTCTTGGAGGTGCAGGAAGGTTCTCTTAGGAGTAGGACCAAAAGGGGCTGAGAGCGTGGTTAATGTCGAGGCTGCTAAGTGACGCTTGTTAACTGCCCCAACCTTGACTCTCAGTTTCCTCTTTCAGTAAAAGGCCATGATAATACCGGTCCAGCCTACGCTGGAGAGTTGTGAGGTGAAAATGAAATAAGCCTGCAAAGGTATTTTGTAAGTATAAAGCCCATTTGACTTGGTGGCTCACGCCTCTAATCCCAGCACTTTTGGGAGGCCGAGGTGAGTGGATCGCTTGAGCTCAGGAGTTCGAGACCAGCCTGGGCAACATAGTGAAACCCCGTCTCTACAAAAAAGACAAAAACTAGACGGGTATGGTGGCACGAGCGCGCCTGTAGTCACAGATACCCTGGAGGCTGAGGTGGGATGATCGCTTGGACCTGGAGAGTTCGAGATTGCAGTGAACCGTGATCGTGCTGCTGCACTCCAGCCTCTGTGATGAGAGCAAGACACTGTCTCAAAAAAAATGTATCTCTGAGGCAGGGGAATTGCTTGAACCTGGGAGGTGGAGGTTGCTGTGAGCCGAGATCGCGCCACTGCCCTCCAGCTTGGCGACGGAGCAAGACTCCGTTTAAAAAAAAAAAAAAAAAAAAAAAAAAGTATTGATTCAGATAGGTAAGAGTCCTAGAAAGTCGGTGCAGTTCTGACTAGCTGATGTGGGAGAGTCAATTACTCTCGGCGCTGGGGCAAGCTAGCGGACCCCCCCTCCCCTCCCTCCGCGCCTCCCCCGCCTCGTGCGGGTGTTGGAGGAGACAAATTGGCAAGGACTAATCCCAGGCAAAGGAAACTTCATGAGTAAAAGTAGGAAGTAAAAATGGTCAGGAAAAGCAAGGCTTGGGGTAGGGAGACCCATTTTCAGGTCGTATTGCAGTACTCCAGACAAGCGATAAGAACATTGAACAAGGCATTGGCAGTGGGAATAGAAGAGGGGATAGATGTTGGCGCTGTTAAGGTGGTAGAACTCACAGCCAGGTTTGAGTAGGCCAGCTTTCTAATATAAGTCCTAAGGGAGATAGTGGTAACATTTAGCAAAATGGCAAGCTACATGAGTGTTATCCACAGGTGTCTAAGTTACTATTATAGATAGTGATGGTGACATTCCTTAGGAGGATGATTGGATATGTGGAATATGGTGATGATTTCAAATATGGATATGTTTGTTGGGGAAACGTTTCCTCTCCACTCACAATGTCTTCTGTATGGAATGACATCCATTAGTGTAATACTTTCCTGGCTTCTCACTGTACCTGTCCCCAACTCACTCTTCCCTGATTAGTGAATTGTTGGACACAGGGCAAGGAAGAAAACACAGTGACTTCCTGATTGGTGAATAAACTGGGCATGTGACATCTATCCCATTCTTTTTCTCTTGAAAGAAAGCTATCTTCAGGGAACTGTCCTGGTGTTCTCTTCCATTTCTCCTGGAGCAGGGCCTATGGGTGGGGACAAGGGTGCCTAGTCCAGGACTACAAAGAGAGTAAATGTATTTAATTCCAGAGTTTGGCATTAGGAAGCTATCTGTCCACAGGTAATATTTAATACCGGCTTTATCAGCTGTGTTACACTAATAATGATCCCCTCAAAAAAAAATGACCACATCCTAATACCCAGAACCTGTAAATATGTTATATTATATGGTAAAGGGAACTTTGCAGATATGATTAAATGATGCATCTAGGGAGATTATCCTGGATTGTCTGACTTGGCTGGAGGCAGGAGGGTTGGAGTCAGAGAAGGAGATGTGATAATGGAAGCAGGGATCAGACAGAGAAATTTGAAGATGCTGTACATTTGGCTTTGAAGATGGACCCAAGGAATGCAAGCAAATTGTAGAAGCTGGAGAATGCAAGGAAATGGATTCTTCTCTAGCACCCTGCGAATACAGCCCTGCCAACATCTTGCTTTTAGGATTTCAGACCTCTTGAACTGTAAGATAATAAACTTGTAAGTTTTAAGCTACCAAGTTTGTGGTAACTTGTTACAGCAGCAACAGGAAACTAATACAGTCAGTAATAAAGACAATAGTTGGTTTCCTGTAGCTTTCTCCTTTATCTGGAAAAGAAGGGTACAATTCAGTAGGTCCCTTCGGAGACTATAGTAATATGACTGTGCCCTGATGGAGGGAACCTCCAAATCTAGAGGAAAATGTCCAGTAAACAGTCAAACTATACAGGTCTGTGAATGAGGGAAAAGGTTGAGTTAAAATAGTTTGGAAGAAAAAAATTTATAATTGGTAATTTAAGCCCAAGACATGATGAGATGAATACGTGAGAAAATACAGAAGAAATAATAAGGAGAACCAAGGATAGGGCCCCTGGGAAGCACTAACTTTAGAAGGAGGTACAGATGATCAGAAACCCAAAAAGAAGTCTGAGGAGGAATGGCCTGGGAGAGAAAAGGAGAATAGGTGAGCCTAATGCTCTGAAGCCCTGCACGCAAGGTGGAGAGGGGCCAACAGAGTCAGAGACCACAAATGGGTCAAGTATATCAAGAACTGGAAACCATTCACTGGATTTAGCAACAGAAAAGTGATTGGTAACCAACAATAGCAAACTTCAGTGGGATAGTGGAGATAGATACCAAATCACTGAGGTCTGAAAGGCAGACCAACATAGTGGATTAGCCTCTGGACTGGGTTGATTCCAGTTTTGAGATCCTAGTCTTGATTCTGGCCATTGATTAGCTAAGTAACTGAACAAATCCCTCAACTATTCCAGGCTTTGGTTTTCTCATCTGGCAAAGGGTGGGATCAAGCTGAGTCTATAGTTTTCACATTAATTCCTAGATAATCCCCCCCAATTTTATATCAGACTCACCGTGAGAACCAGTATTACATGCCAGCTTCTGTCCTAGATACTATGGCTATGACACAGTTTTCAAGGAACTCACAATTTGGAGAGAGAGAAAAAAAAATACTAAGTATATAACTAGGTGTTGTAGTTCTTTTTAAGAAAAAAAAATTAATATATATATATATAAAATCTGCACGCAGTGACTCACACCTGTAGTCCCAGCACTTTGGGAGGCCAGGGCAGGCGGATCACTTGAGGTCAGGAGTTGGAGACCAGCCTGACCAATATGATGAAACCCCATCTCTACTAAAAATACAAAAGTTATCCAGGCATGGTGGCATGCGCCTGTAATCCCAGCTACTCGGAGGCTGAAACAGGAGAATCACTTGAACCCAGGAGGCAGAGGTTGCAGTGAGCCGAGATCACGCCATTGCACTCCAGCCTGGGCAACAAGGGTTAAATTCTGTCTCAAAAAAATAAATAAAGAATAAGATAGACCTGGTTGTGGTGGCTCATGCCTGTAATCCCAGCACTTTGGAAGGCCAAGATGGGAAGATCACCTGAGGCCAAGAGTTTGAGACCAGCCTGGGCAACATAGCCAGACACCCATCTCTACAAAAATGTTCTAAAAATTAGCAGGTGTGGTGGCAGGCACCTGCAGTCCTAACTACTTGGGAGGCTGAGGCAGGAGGATTGTGTGAGCCCAGGAGTTTGAGGTTACAGTGAGCTATGACTTTGCCAGTGCACGTCAGCCTGGGCAACAGAGCAAGACCCTGTCTCAAACAATAGAGTAAGTTTAAAAGCTAGATATAAATATTGTAATTATAATACAATATACTATAATAGAATCTGTATGAAGTAAAATGAGGACTATATAAAGTGATACAGGTAAGAGGGCAGTCAGTTCTATGTAATGGAAGTCAACGGTATTGTACTTACCTATACTGTCAGGTAGGCACAGAATGCCTCAAAAATGGACACTAATATATTAAGGCATTTCCATGGAGATAAAAAAAGACCAGGAGAATTGTGCTAAACCAGTGATGTCACCTAACATTCCTTCTAGGTAGTTTTGTTGTGATTTAAATGAATATTTACATACAACTGTTTCTAAACTAAAATTGTTTAATTGTTAAAATGAACACAAAAGTTAAATGCAAGAATAATTTATATTTTCTCAGTAGATCCAAGAGGAAACATTTATTGTCACTAATGCCATGCTTTGATACATTTGCTTATCTAATCTTCATATGTTATCTCACTTAATTTTGTAAACATTAGCTTATTGAATAGCCCACTGACAAAATACCTGTTTTAGCAGATGGGGTACAAAGTTTAAATAATTTGGCTGAGGTCATAGTAGACCAAGATTTAGACCCAGCACAAGCATCCTCTTTCCAGGAAACTGGTCCTTAGTTGGTTTAAGTGCCCTTTCTCTGTACTGTTAACATATGCACACATTCATTTTAGCATTTGCTTTAATAATAAGGATGTTTACAGTGTGCCAGGTACATCGTACCTGTACCTATTTACCTCTGTTTAAGTGTTTTGTAGGCATTAGTTCATTTAAGCCTCATAACTGCCCTTTGAAGTAGGTGATATTATTCACAATATTTTATAAAACAGGAAGCTAAGGTATAGAAAGGTTGAGTAATTACTCAAGGTACACTTAATAAGTGACAAAGCAGGGATTCAAATCCATGCTTTTAACCCCCAGGCTTCAAACTATGTACCCTTTCCCTTACACTGAGGGATTCTAGAAGGCATAGCTTACAAGTTGTATGTGTGATATCACTCTGTGTTCCTCATAAGAACACAAGAGAATTTTCTCCCTGAGCCATGAGTCATGAAATATTTGGCTACCGTTGAGTAACTGATGTGTTTTTCTCTTTATAGGCAATGTGAATTATATAACTGCTGGTTTTTCCCTTTTCACTTTGACTGCCAAGAATTAAATTTGTTGGCTTGGTGTTTGTAAGTGGGTGGATTGGCTTGCCTATCTGTATTCTGTTGCTTTGAAATTTTAAAAAATAGTTGGGAGAAAAATAATGTAAATTTTTCTTTATTTTCCAAATTGTTGACAATGTACAATGATAATTTTTATAATTAGAAAAATAAACTTTGTTCTTAAAAGAATGTTTGCAGCTTCAAATGATATCTCACGCTTTGACTCTGAATAAGAGCTGGTTTCAGGTTAAGTTGCAAGAGTTAAATATAGAATCCAGCTTCATATAAAACCAAGACTTCTATGTGACCTTGAAAGTCCAGATCAGTAGAATTGTTCAGACGGATCAAAAAGTATTTTAAGTAGTATAAAATAGTTGTAGCCCTTCTTGTTTTTAACTTATGTCTAAGTAATTTGAAACCACTTTTAGGTTATTTGGACACGTTCTCCCTTGCTTTAGAAATAAGAAATTTATCATATTATCTTCCTATATGCTGATGAGATCTTATTATAATAAACTTCAAAGCTGATCTTGTTGCTCACCATTTATCGAAAGAATGGATCAAGATCACCTGTTCCAAAACTAAAATAATTTTTTTGGCACATGTCCTCAAATTTAA